TTGCGGCTAGAGGACCCCACCGTGGGATCGCACACCATCGCACGCGCCCCGCCGGCGAAAACGCCGAGACAACCCGCGACTGTTGTGGCGGCGCGACCAGACGCGGCGCGTCTCGCGGGGCGCCCCTCTCCCACCCAGCGGGCCCACGGCTCGGGTCATCGCTCGGGCCCGGCTCGGCCCGGCTCGGCCCGGCCCGGCTCGGCTCGGCGCAAAACAAGGTCACGGACGTCGTGTTGGTCAGCGTGGTGCGCCGGTACTACCGCTATGGCTTATAGCGCCACGCAGATGTACCCGGGAGGGAGTAGTGGGGGCACCAGCTGAGAACGGGGGAAGATTGTAATCACGAAAACTTAAAAGCGTGTCCTTAGTTCCCCCCCCCCTCCCCCCATCCGCGTCGCGTTGGACAAGCAGGTTAACGCGTCTGAAGCCGAGCTGCCGCCAGCAGCTGCAGGTGTGCGGAGCAAGCCGGTGTCTGCAGTTGGGTCGAGGATGTTGTTCACGACAAGCTCTATGCACATATTCAGTTTATGTCTCGTCCAGGTGCGTGCCGATCGGCTTGTCACGTTCCCCTCCGCAGCTGCAGCTGCACCGCCCGCCGTGCACCTGGATCTACACCTGAAGCTGCGCTTTAACAGCGGTTGGGGGGTTATTGGGAGAGGCTGCTGCGAGGCCTCCGCTTTCCGCTCATCTCCATGGCGACGCAGGGGGAGAGGAACTGAACCTGCTGTAACGGGCGGCCAGGCCCGGCAGCGGCGCCGGGGTATGGGGGGGCGGAGGGGAGAGGGGGGCGCTGCGCTCGGCAGGTGAGCCCGGCGGTTAGGCCCCTGTCAGTGCCCCGCTAGCACGCCCCGTGTTCCTGTCCGCCATGGCGTCCCGCCGTGCTGCCTGCTTCCTCCTCGTCGGCGTCCTCACGGCCTCGGCGCTCGGCGCACCGACGACGTCCTCCACCGCACCGTCACCCGCAGCCTCATCGTCGTCGTCCGTCTCGAGCAACCTAATCGACGATGACCCCCTACAGAAGCTCGCGCCTGCCGTCCTCAAGGTGGCCCGTGAGTGCCTGTCCAAGGAGTACGCCGCCCTGGCCTGCTGGAAGCTCTTCATCGTCCGGCGCGCTGACGGCTTCCTCGGGGACGTCCGCACCGCAGAGGTGAAGCACCAGGGCGGACCCGCGTCCTTCGACCTGCTGCCCGGCTTTGTCGCCCTCGAGAAGGACGCGCGTCGCCAGGACAACGAGGTCCTCGACGACCTAGAGGACGTCGGCGGCATGGAGGCCAAGGATGACCTGCAGGGCCAGGACCTGCACGAGGACTCTGACAACGATCTGCTGGACCCGGGTCGAGACCAGGAGTCTCTGGACCGCGCGCTGATCGCAAGGACCAGCAAGCTCTTCAACGGTCGCCATGTCTCCGTCAAGGTGCTGCCCGGGGTCGCGCTCAAGGTGTCACCGAGGCTGGCCAAGGACCAGAACAGCATGGATGCCGATGTTTCCGTCGAAGTTGGACCAGGTCAGTGTACTTTGGTAAAAATGCGGAAATGCTTTCATTCTCACATACCAGTCCAAAGTAGATGTCGGCAAAAGGTAAGCAGAGTTTTATAAGAGAGAAAATTGAACAGCCGAAAAAGTTTCACATATGATTATTCGCTGGTTCAGTGCGCCTGTGCATGTGGATGACCCAGCAAAGCGTGACCACATTTTGGTCACGCCGCACTGAATTGCTTAATTATACAACACACAGCTTTTACTCACTGTCTGGTCGGCCCCTGCTGAGTTTCTCCAAAAAGGGTCTGTTGTTTCCGAGCGTGCAGTCGAGCTACGGCAGTGAGCATTGACTGTGCAAATATGTAGATACACATCTACACGTGTGGTTTTTGTACTTTTTGTTCCGGAGTTCTAAGCTCTGCAGATGCAACAACACCAGGAATGAAAAGTTTGCCACTTAAGACTGTCGGAAAAAAACAGCCCCAACTTTGTACTGTCATTCCCCTGTATGACTAGGCAGGCATTATATGCATTCTCCATACGAGTCTTTTAACCACGCGATACTCTTCTAGGGGCAGAGCGACCAGGGCGTTGCCCCATGGCTAGTTACAGAAGCAAGCTGCAAACAGTATCAGTAGACTAGTAGCCGGAGTAGCACATGCACAGCACAATCCAAAACCCACCGTCCACCGATATATAGGGTGGGGGGGAGGGTGCCTTCCTGTATGTATCAAGGTATAATACTAG